CTCTTCGAGAGAGAGCGAAAAATAAATATTTTAGCATACAAAGTAGCTAAAAAACGGAAGTTTGAAGTTTGTCACTTTGCATTGGCCATGGGTTTAGTTGGTTATTTGATTATCTTTGTTTTTTTTATGCATGGTTGGATGCATGTAAAATATGGTTCTTGTTGTAGATATGCAGAACATGTAATACAAACAAGCAATGTTTGTTGTATGTATAATGTATAATATATATGTATAATATCCAAATTTATTGTTTATATAATTTTATTATATATTATAACAATATTGATTTTGATCCAATATTGTAATTATAAGACTGTCACTATTTGCTGTGCCTGAAAACTATTATTAAACCATCAACTGACAAGTAGAGAACCTAACTCAGGTTTCCCGTTAATTAAAAATCTCGTGTCAGAAAATAATTTATTTCCTTAACTGGAGGAACTAAAAATTTACAAAGGGAAAAACACATTGAAAAGTTATAAGGTCTGAAGAGCGTTTTGTTGATGATCTTCCTCCATTTATTGTTTTGTTTATTTTCGATTTTTTGGTTTTCATTGTGGATTTTCGAAAATTTGAAATAAAAAATTTTAAATTATTACCGGCCATAAAAATTGCCTGGAATTTTGTGAGTTTCCACCAAAAAGTTGGGCCTAATGATGTCTTAACGTTTAATGGACTCAAAAAAACAGGCAAGCCAAATGTTTAAAGTAGACGAAGAACATCTTTGGATTACTTTTATCATATGGATTGTTATATTAATTTTGTCTGGTCAAATCAGGGAATAGGAATAAAGGGAAGGGAAATGGCGTTGGTCTGCAGACGAGTTCGGTATTACACACGCACACTCTTTTGGTACAGACACACAACATGACTACAGTCAAGGAAATGACAGAACACGTGTCGTCTTCGCTTTTCTAGTATATTATTAGTTAAATCCCGAACAACACAAAAAGCTTTTTGGAAATCTGCTTAGTTTTTTTCTTTCTGCGCTAAATTCTGTAAAAAGATAATTATACTAGTTTATGTTTACTAGTGATGGTTATCTTATCAAACAAAACCAATATGAGGAGCCAATATTAGTAGTTCCAGTAATCTATACTCTACTCCACTCTACTCAACTTCATTCTAGTTTTCTCTACTCAACTCTACTCTACCCTACTCTACTCTACCCTACTCTACTCTACTCTACTCTACTCTACTCTACTCTACTCTACTCTACTCTACTATGCTCCTGTAGGCCGAGTCCATAAGCGCTTGATCCAATCAGGGTTCAGTCACGTGTTTGTTGTCTATTCTGAGCCAATAGAAATAGTATGGCGGTAACATCTATCTTTTTATCTCTCTCATTTTCCACTTAGAGTTTTGAATACTTCAATCTGGGCTATCAGTAAATGCAAATATTTACTTCTGCTGAAATTATCTACTCTACTCTACATATCTACTGAAAAGACCAAAGCCCAAGAATAAGATGTTTGCTAGAGAATAATGGAAACAATGAAAATTGAAGTAGCTTCAAGATACAAGTTTGTTAATTTCGATAATGATTAATTCAAAATTCTAATTTATGTTGTTCAGAGTTCAGAGTTAATAAGAAACCGAAATTACTATGGTTTCTATAAATATGTTAAGTATACATATATATGTATACTTTTATAGATAAACATATGTAGAGGAACATATAGTGTGAAGAACTAGGGCACATCTAAAAATCTGAAATAATAATGAATTGAATGAAATTTTGTTACGAAAAGCTGCACATTTGTTTATCTTACCCTTTGCTGATTTCTAAAAATCAAAAATTAAAATAGTTTTGGTTGAAAGTGGTGAGCACATTGATCATAATAAATCTCTCGTGATTGATACCGTGAAAAAAGTATTAAGTGATTCATGATATCAATATCATTCCTGCAGTACGCAACTAATGATTTTTTTTACTGTAATTTACCAAAATCAAATAGCTCATTATAAAAGCGTTTATGTAAATAATGTCCGTCGTATGTTTTTATGGCTCTGTGATTAAGTTGAAAATTTATAAAAACAAGCTAGGCCTGTTATTTAACAGTTATGAATATATTAAGGCCAAAGTTCCAGGCCTACATATATAAATCGATCAAAGGAAATTATTTCATTAAGTATTTTCGGAACTCAATATCAATTCTAAATTAATGAGTCCATAAAACCCTGGAACACTTAGATAGATGGGAAATTAATTGCATATAGAACACACAGCTTCAGGTATTTAGACATTAATAAAACTTAAATTCCAAAATTACCGTTTGCTACCTTCTTTTTGCTGACTTTGTGCATCATTATCAGAAATTTGAACGGCAACTATTTTGCATCTCGCGAACTTGTATATAATATATCGAAAAATGCAAAGAATTACATTTTTGAGTTGATTCTAGAATATTTAATAGTTTAGCAAATATATTGCATAACAAAGTGAGAGAAAATGTCATTTGTCGCGATATTTCACGCGCGTAAGTAAATAAGTAAATAAGTAAGTATAAATAAGATTTATAGAGATAAATCAAAATCATATAACATAATTTTTAACACAGAATATGATTTTATCATATTATTTCGCGTTAAACTTTTATGATGATTTTTGTATTCGAACTTAAATGCTTCTGCTACTTTTTGCCTCAATTATCTTGCACTGAATTAATCAGAATTAAGACTTTACCTCAAAAATGTTAATTTTAATATAACATTTTCTTTCATAGTCGAATACATTGTACAGTCCCTTTAAATGTCACTTGAAAGACATGAAAATTATCTTGAGCGGAAAAAAATATATATAAATTCGTTCTGTTTAAAGGTAAAAGCTATGCATAAGACATATCTTGTATAAAGAAGCACCTGTATGTATGGATTCGATTTCAGGATAAACATTTACATAAACATTTATTCTTATCAGTTATTTTAAGTGAAATTTGGAAC